CTTGGCTGCACTACCACGATGCAAAACGTGATGTCATTTGGGCATCACAGATAAAGCTGCTTGTGTTCTCTGGGTTTTTGTATCTTACTTTACAGTGCAGTTGTCTTCCTTTAAGCTTATCTACAGATTGCTTTCCTCCATTTCCAGGTTTTCTCTTAGGAACAATTTTCTTAAACGTTTCCTGTGCTATGTCTGTAATTGAAAAAGCAAAACAAAACCAGAGAGGTTAAAGAAAAAAAAAAACAAAAACAATCCTGAACAAAGCCATGTCATATCATTTCTGCCGCTACTCCATTATTTCCAAAGGCTGTGTTTTTCAGGGCTGTATTTGTAAGCTTTTTGAGCTTACCCTTCTCCTTATGTGACATAAGGAACTTGCCAGTTTTTAAGAGTGTTGGCTCGTGCGTAGGCGGATTGAGGCCGGCAGCGGAGTTGTCACTGCCGGTGTTTGCTCTTTCCCCTTCGTCTGAGCTGCACGGCTGGACTGTGCTCAGAGCAGCTTCTGGAAAAGGAGGAAAGCAAACAAGCTGGGCAATAATTGCTTTGGCTACCTGACTTTCATTTACCATCATTCCTGAGTCAGGACAAGCTGCCGTTGGGCTGTGTGATGCTGGGTGGGCGCTGGCAGTGCTGCTACAGCAGGAGCTGGGCGCGGATGCTGCCTGGAGCCCTCCTCTCCTCTTCGGTTTAAACATCCAAGCAAACACGGTTTGGCTTTGTTTTGCTGCTGAAAAATGATAATAGAGACCCAAATATCCTGTATTCATTGCAAGGAGACGTGAAATGACATCCAGATCCCATCCAGGAGCTCGTATTGCCTTCAAAGCCCCTTCAAAGCAGCCGGCTGAGCTGCTGCTGCTGCCTGGGACTGCTTCTTGCAGCAGTGTTTGCTGAGAGCTCTTTAAATTCCTCAACCACTGCCTGCTAACAAATGAATATAAATGATCTCTGAAACAGGCTCATTTAACTGTTGCCTAATATGTAGCGTTTGGCCTGGCAGAGTCAAAATACTGTGACTCAGCTTTGTATGGCGAATTGAGTACTTTGTTTATTAAAATTACTGATTTGTGGTATAACGAGAAGGGCCGTGATTGCTGTTACTTCTCACGCAGAAGATTTAAAGGGCAGGTCATCAGTGTTCTCCAGCTGCAAAATATTTTCGATTATCTGTTCCTCTTCCGAATACTTCGCTGTTACATATTTCATGGGCTGTGCCGTCCTTGGCCGGGTTTGGAAATCAGTGACTTGGATTTTGCTCTGACTGGCCTCGGTGAGGCTCCTTACAGGTAAACAGAGCAGAATTTTGCCTCGCTTAACCGAGGGCACCGTGTTTCAATAGAGACAAACGTCTGCAGCTGTTACAGATTGCTAATAGTTTGCTCTGAATTCCGTTTGCTTTATTTTCCTGTAAATAACCTGTGTTGGGTTTTAACGCCGCCCTGTGCTGCATGTAATACTCAGCACTTCTCCCCTCCTCTTGGAAGTCTGAATCGAAGCTGGAGCTCTGCTACTTTTGCCCATGCATGACTTAACACAAAGGTTGGTTAAAGCCTTTGGCTGTGATGTAAAATTTTTTCCTTTTTTTTTGGTAGAGGCTCCCACATAGTAAGATATAATCACCATTTTGCCGAGTTTTATTAAATAACGATGCGCACGAGAAGCGTACAGCTTTGATAATCGTCAGTGGGAGTACGTGGAGGATGTCACAAGCTCGCAGTAAGGATTTCTAACCTGCCCCCAAATTTGTTTAGGTTTAATGCACTGTAATTGTGCTGCACCCCGTGGTTTTTTCCCGATGGCCCAAACTTTGCATTCTGTGACCGATCACCTGGGCCTGACCCCAGGTCAGAGAGCAGAGTTCACGCTGATGCTTGAAGCATCAGATTTGGGCAACAAGAGCCCTCTGCACCTTGCCAGGTGTTAAGGCAAGATGTTCTTTTCCTCCTCCTGCTTTTCCAGTCGCTTTTCAGCCGAGCCGAGGGCTGTGTGTTGTTGCTAATTGCCGATAATGTAGTCCTGACACTTTGCAAAGTATCCATGGATGATATTCACCCAAAGGATGCTACCACTATCTTCAGAGATGCTGATACAGTTTTGCTGGCATAGACTCATTTAGTGATGAATTGCAGTAATAGCAGTTCAGGACCTACAGCATATTAGTGAAAATGAATCCACTGAGCACTGGTCCCATGGCACTACCACAGCACTTAGAGAACACCGATTTTCCTGAAGGGAGAGGAATCGGACTGAGTGGTAGCGATTTTTTTCCCAGCAGTGTGTTATTTGTATCTGTTTCTCGATGTGTGTTATTGTAAGGTAGTTAATACACGTAAGAAAAGCAGGAAATGCCACAAACACAGAACACTTTTTCGGGTTGGTTCATGGAAGACTTGCACGTGCTACAGAAAGCAGAGATGGAGCAGTAATATTCCTCAATTTCTTGTTGTAAACTGACCTAACAGGAGTCAGGGGCTAGTAAAGGCAGAAATGTCAACATGCCAAAACTGAGAAGATCAGTGATGGTTAGTTCACACCACGGTTGGTCATGGTGGCAAAACGTTGTAGAAATGAACCAATAATTGGAAAGATTTATTAGAATAAAAGTACAGGGCAGCCTATTGTTGAAGGAGTTGCCTAATTTGAGGGAAGTAAGGGTAAAGGTATGGTGTGAGTTAATGATGTGCTGATGCTTTGTCTGGGAACAGAGGGGTCCCTCAGCTCTGCGATGTGCTCGGTGGAGAACAGAAACGGCCCAGGCGTAGTGCTGGGCTCCTTTCTGCAGTCGCCTTTAAGATCACCCAGGTGCTAGAAAATTCAATGGATCTGGAATACAGAAACTCATAAACCAGGAGGAAAGGTACAATATGCATCTCTCCTTTCCTCCTTCACCATTTCTATATCCTTCATGAGAGGAGACACATCTGGGGTGTGCCTAGAGCATAGGAAGGAGGAGCTGCAGGCAGGTCTAAGGAGCTCTTTTCTGCTCTTGCTAAGTTTTAAGACGGTACCTTTGTATGTCCTTGTGTTTAAAACAACTCCCCATCCGAAGCCTTACTTTGATTTGTAGATATCTTGCCTCCAGTTTTTATAATTAACCTCCACTGCTGGTGGAACTGCCACCGGTTATGATTTTGCAGTTAACATCAAAGACTCGGTAAAACATCTTAATTGCCTCTTCCACGCACCAGAACGTGTTTGAAATGAGTTCAAAACGTGTGATGTGTCCTTAGGTGGTGAGGAAGGGCCATCTCACCATTGCCAAGGAACCTGGGGGGAAAAAGTAAAGGAGTGCTACAAATATCATATAGTCTCGCAGACTCTGACACACAAATCTGTACTGCCTAGGATATGCAGATATTGTAAAGAACTGGGGTTTATAGGTGGGTCCAGTGTTTTAGGGCATGGGAACCCTCCTAAAATCAGATACGATAAATGGGTTTCATTTAAACATGACCCTTATATAAGTGAGGGTAAGAAAAATAAGCATTTGTGGACCTATAGCTCCAGTATCTTTGGGAAAAGAGAAAAAAATGGGCATGAAAGTACATGGAGGAAAGGCTGTTGTATCTGGCAGGTGACCTTGTTGGGTAGGTGTGAGTGTGTCACACACGCAGGGTGATCAGCTGATGAGTTAGGACAACAAAATAATTTTCTGTAGTTTGTGATCTGACAAGCAGCATGCCACTGCTCCGATTCTCTTAGAGATTCTGTAAGTTAATACAGTCAGAGGAATCCTTTTTTCTGAGTAATTATAAAAATTAAATAAATCTGAAAGTGTGTTGCTTTCTGGTAGGTCAAGAAGCTTCCCAGTCTAAAGATCCAGGTATTGACAGATTATTTAAAATAATATTTAAAATTAAAAATAATTAAAGATAATAATAAAAATTAATAATTAATATATAAAATAAATATTCAAAATAATAATAATCATCATCTTAGCTGTTGGACAGTTTTCTCAACACAACCTTAGCATTTTTAGTTTGTTCTACAGCTGCTTGTAGTATTTCTACTGAAAAACATTTTGAGATCATAGGGTTAACAAGGTATTTTCCATGTTCCTAGAGGAAGGATTACAAACTTCAGCTGTTCCTTTTCGACTGAAATTAAAGCACAGCCTGCCTTAAGTAGCAACAGCCACAGGTTTCTGCTTTTAAAATCTAGATTTCTTCTGATAAGTTATGACTTAATTAACAAACAGTGCATATACATTTTGAAGGGTAATAAATGAATAAATATTAGCAAACAAGTCTGAAGAGTGTTTGAGGTAACGCAGGAGACAGGCTGGAGTCTCTGGGTAAGGACTAAATGCTGTATTGCAGCAACCACTACTTGTAATGCACTGAAGGTTGAGATAAGTTATATAACTTAGCGATAAACAAAACTTCTTCCTTTGTGCCCGAGAGTTTGTCACATACAGAGTAGTGCGAATGCTACAAAGACTTGATACTCAAAGTTTTCATTTTCTTAAAGAATTCAGAAGGCTGAAAACAAAACAGCAAACAAAACCCGCATGTTCCTAATGGAATTATATTGAGAGTTATATCTCTTTATCTCAAAAGCGAAGTTTCTCACCCAAGACTCACCCTGTCCTTCCTGCTAGGTGAGGGACTGCGGTTAATTTGGGCTGCTGATGGATGAGCACCCCCAGTAATCCCCCTTCAGGAGGGGCTTTGTGTGCATTAGGGGACTGCAGTACCTCGGTGCCCGCGTGGGCACAAACTCATTAATTACAGCTCTGCAGATTTGGAGCAGAAAAGCTCCTACAGGTCTTTCAGTAAACAACTACCTAATTATGTTCTGGTGGGACGTGCAGGTAGGAAATGTAATACCCTTGGCAGGTTTCTCCGGGACTCCTAAAGCAGCAAAACTGTGTATGCATGAGGAATAACACAAAGCACATCTCAGCGCTCTGCAGGAGGGCAGATGCAAATTCACACGAGCAAATTCAGAACCGAAGGCACAGAAACCAGCTTAGAGTTGCTTAAAAGCCTCGTACTCACCCTTCTCTGTGAGCTTCTCCTTTCTCTAGCTCCTGGATGACCCCCAACAAGACCTTGATGGTTTCCTGACTGGAGCTGATCAGATTCTCCATCACCTGCAGCTGCGCTTTCAAGTCCACAACTTCGGTGTGAGGCACGATTTGCTGGCATTCCTCGCTCAGGGCGACGGCGGCCTGGCAGCTGGGCGAGGCGTCGCCTCGAGGGCTGCGCTCGTGCCGCTCGCCGGCCGGGCACCGAGCCTGCAGCGGGCAGGCGGGCGCCTCGACGGCCTGCGGCTGGACCCCGTTGAGGTGCACGGTCCTCTTGCTGTCCTCCTCGCCCGCCGCCGGGCACAGCGACCACTCGGCTTCGGGCTGCGAGGCGTCCGCGCCGCCCGCCGGCAGGTAGAGGGTGGCCACCTCCGTTTTGAACACCCTCCCCTGGAGGGGCTGCCCGGGCTCCTCGCTCCCCGGCTCCGGCTTGGCCGCGTTGTGGAGGGGGCAGCCGGGGGGCTCGGCGCCCTGCCAAGCCCCCGCGCACGCCCGCTCGCCCACGTGGGAGATGAACTCGGCCGTCTGCAGGCTGCCGGCCTTCCTGCCCCACTGGCCCTCCTCCCCCGAGCTCCTGCCCTCCTTGTCCTTCAGGTCTACCAGGAACCCGTTGTTCTCGCCCTTGAAGGCGTCGACGGCGGAGGCGCTCTTGATGATATTCCCTTTCTTGCGGTCCAGGGGAAAGGTCTGGTAACACTTCTTGAGGTCCGGGGAGGTCTGCACCCCCGTGCTCTTGGTGACGTTGGGGATGGACCTGCGGGCCGGCACCGTCATGTACTTGCGGTAGGCCGTTTTGTAGGAGAGCGCCTTGGCCTCTCGCTTCTCGCTGTCCTGGCTGGTGGCGAGCTGCTTGTCCCGCTGCTCGTTCTGGGCCTCGCAGATGTCCTTGAATCTCACCTGCAGGGCCTTGTTGCGCTTCTTGATCTGCCGGTTGGGATCCAGAGCATATTTCATCTCCAGAGCAAGCGAAGCTGCTGGCTCAACTTCGCTTTCCGAGGTGGTGAGTAAGCATTTGCTGGGCTCCTTACTCACCATGATGCCTGCAGTCAAAAACAGTTCAAAAAGGCCGTGTTAGAACAGAACTACGAGGTTTTCCCCCTAGTTTTTCCCCAAACTTTTTGTATTTGAGCTCATTTCCTGTGCTTTCACTAAAGAGGTTGGCACTCACCACCTTTTTTGCTGGATTCTCTTCATTAACTCATAATCCTTGGTATTAGGTACTAGATCTTGGTCTTTTACTAAAAAATAGCGCCTTTATCTTGCCGTGCTTTATGAGATTGTTTAAGACCTGCTCTCGGGGAGCAGGCTGTGACCTCTGCAGGGTGACAAAACCACCTGCTCGGGGGCTGAAACCTCATTTTTGTGACACCCTGGGGGTTTTCCAGGGTTTTTCCGTGGGGGCTGGCTCCCCACGCAGGCTGTGCTGCACGGGAACCCAGGCACTCAGGAAGCGGGTTATTTCAATTTACTTCACAGTTAATAAAAAGTAAAAGACAAAATAATTTTTAAAAGTCTGTATATTTAGGGAGAAGTCTGTAGCACCGTACCTTTAACTCTCCTTTAATGCAAATGTTGGTGGCAAGAAATATCAAACCGGCATTATTATTTTACAGCATGCTTGCTCAGAAAACATGACTCCTGTGCACTATAGTCTGCATCCTGGCACAAGATTTATCTAATTTCTCATTGCAGATGTCAGTATCTGGATTTTTTTTGAAATCTACCTCGTAGCTAAACATAAAATCTGGATGTAGGTGAATTTTTAGCAACCCATTGGTCCTGCTGTGTGCATAAAGTTTATGGTCTTTGAAAGTTTCTGGAAGAAGGCGGCAGTGCAGAAATTAGTTTTGCTTCAAATGCAAAACAAGCCATCCTTTACTAGAAGCACAATATACCTTTATAACAGAGCTTCTTATCCTAAAGTATCCTAAAGTACTGAAAAATAAGAAAAAAAACAACGAAAACTGTGATGAGTCAGAGCAATGACTTAATCTGCTATTGAAATACGAGCACCTCCTCAAGGATGAAAAGAAGCCAACTGCTTAGCACAGAGCAAGGGAAAAAAGCAGCTCTATCTCTGTGCAGATCATGTGGGATCTGGAGTAACTGGATGGCTAAGACCTCATTTTTACACTTCATTTGAAGTTGTCATTTTTAGTCTCCTATTGCGCAAATTCCTCCCTAATGCTGAGATTTACTGAATTACCCAATTCTCACTTAATCCGGGTGTTCTGCGGGTGTCTCCTGTTTAAATACGGCTGTACCTTCAGCGGGGCTGGGAGTACGAGGTATAATGAGCAAAGGGACTTCCAGGTGTGGCATTTGGAATAAGTTTTTGATAAAAATTCTCCCATTAATAAAAAATCTGAAACTCTTGAAGACTTAAGTGCCACAATTGGGTATGTTTTATAACATCAGCTCAGCGGTACAAGTGAATACCTGTGACTAGGCTGTATTTAGTTTTAATTTAATACAAGGTAAGAAGTTAGATCCAATGGAAATCTGAATGTTTACAGTGTTCAAAAAAGTAATTATAACCCTAGGAAATACGACCACATGAAAGTGTGTGGCAGACAACCTGTACGCTGCAAGGCTGGGCCTCTGCTTTATCCAACAGCTTTCAAAAATCTCTTGCAAATGTGTCAATACTTAAACTTTTATCATGTTATACTCTATTTCAGTTAGATTTCTTAGAGTGCTAGATACGAGTCTGTATGTATGAACAAGAGTGCCTGATAGCAGCATGACCATGTCCCTCTCGTTATGGGGAAAAGGATTGTAAAAGGAACTGCTGAAAGGGAGCCTAAAGATAAAAGTGAAGCTGAATGTTATGTCACGGAGATCTCTTGTATGTTGTGCTTGGGTGTGGATGCTCAGCTCTCTGTATGCCTTTAAACCGTGACATTCAGATATTTTTTTCAGAAAAGTGAGCTATGTAGGAATGGTACAAAGTTTTTCTTCCAATTTAAAACCTAAATAAGGGGCCAGTTGTGCTGTGTGAACACCAGTATCCTATGCTGGCTGTTTGGGGCAGTCTTTTAATCATATCACTTGCAGGGTGAAGTTACGCCCGTGAGACACATCCTGTGTACAGAATCCCATTTGTTCCCAGCTTCCAGAAGCAGTGCTGGTAGAAAATGCATTCAGCTATCTAAAGGTGGAATTTTACAACACTTTGGATAACGAAGTGCTTTGTAGGATACAAACCTCTGCATCCGTCAGCCTGCTGTTTGACAGGCATATACTGCACATGGATAAAATATGTTGTAAAAACTAGTGTCAAAAAAAAAGGCACTTCCATAAATATAGAGCTATTGGAAGCAAGTCTATCTTAACTTCCATAGATCTGATAAGTCAGAAAGTTTGCCAAAAACAAAAAAGAAAAAATACAGTAACACAGCAGCCATTGTATCCCATATGTTCAAATCTGCTCATCTGGGTTCCTGCACTATTCGGGAATTTTACCAGATATGGTACGTTGCCTTAGAAAGACGTGAAATCCACCTGAAATATTGGAATTATTTCTGAAGAGAGGATGCATTTTTACCCAGAAAAGAGGCTCACAAAAGTTGGTTGGTAGATCTGGAAGTCCCTTACTGCAAACATCTCTTAGGATACCTGAGAGTTGTCAATGTTCCTGGCAGTCAGTTTTCTGGCACTTTATTTGACAGTAGGCTCCACCAGCACACAATTTATGCTAAAGTATTGGTTTGATAATTTATTACAATACATGGGAACAATCTCAGATTATTTGGGATACTGCTTTATCCCACAATCTTTGGGAAATGTGGATCACTGGGTCTGTTTGGAATGACTTAATTGGCGGAATTACGTTATCTCCATTAATGTTATTAATGGAGCTGCTAACCCAGATGAAACCAGGAGCCCGGTGATATTCTGCGGAGTAGAAATAGCTAAATGCAGCACTCCATTCGGTGTTGCAGTTAATTTTAAGCGTGTCTCTAAGAGCCAAAAATTGATTCTTCAAAAATGCTCGTCTCCCTTTCCCAATTGCACGGGCCTGATTGATTTAGTTAATCTAGAGTTTTCTGTTCCCTCCGGTAGCTTGGACTAACAATCTTATCAGCAGCTGTGACTGACAACCACCAAAGGAACGAGAGCTGATTTTTTTGGAAGATTTACTCAGTTCTCAGCATGTTGAAGGAGAACTGGATGTGCACGCTGGAAAGCAGAGTGGTTGAGCCAAGAGTTGATTTAGAGTTACATAAACTTTTCTGTGTTAAATACGTAATACTTTTTGTTTCAATTATGTTTTGGACAAGGTGTTGACTCCAAGCTTGGTTTACTGACACTACAACGTATTCTTCTGGGAGTGCTGTTTAACCATCTCACCTGTATTTGAGCTCAGCTGGTGCTAGAGCTCTCCCCTCTTTCCACTAAGCTCAGTGCCAAAATTCATACTGATTCCATGGAGAACAGGAGCGTGCCATGGGCACAGCCTGCACCTGGATGGGTAAACTGGAAAAGGAAACCTCATTATCACTTGTTTCCAGTTCCCAAACTATCTATCTGTAATCCTGATGATGGAGATCCTCAATTTGCTTGAGCACTGCAAACCTTATGGCTTCCCGCATCATGGGGCTAGTAAAGGCTTGGGATCTGAATTTCGGCTGCAGATGCCAACAGAGAGAACACATTGAAACTTTCTGTCTGTGGCTCCCCTAAATAAACCCTGATTGTGTGACATGATTTGCTAAGCAGAATATGTAATGATCACATAGCTTATTTTTCAGTTTTTAGCCTTGATTTGTTTATAAACTCCTGGCTGATTAAACTTAAGCAGTGTTCCCTAATGTTTGAATATGGAAATAAACTGTTTAATAATAATAAAGCGATGCACAGAGAAGCCTGAAGTTGGTACAGAATCTCCTAGTTAAGCCATGGAAAGCACCTGCTTTATTATTTCAGGTTCTCAGGAGCATGTTTTATTCAACTTAATAAATGTCTCCTGTTCAGTTCTTCATTTTCATTGACACTGCCTGGATTTCCTTCTCTCAGTTTAGAAGTGGTGCTGGGCATGGCCAGGAAGAAGACCTGCCTTACCTGGCTCGTGCCTCACTTACGAGGTAGGCAGACCACAAGTACATCTGCACAGGACTTCACTGTCCCCTTGCCCAAACTGCTCAAAGTCACTGCACTACCCAGGGAATTAAGCTGCCGGATTTCTCTATTGATTTTTTTTAATGATGGAAAAGGAGACTTGTAACCTACCTCATAATTTGAATTTGATTTCTGTCAGTTTTTGACACAGAAATGTATTCAAAGCGTAAACGTGCTAGCAAACTGCACGGACCACGTGCAACTTCCCAAGTTCTGCATGCAGACAAAAGGCCCAGATCCCAGCCTGGAAAGGCGTTGGGGATTTGGCTGTAAACTTCTGTGCACGTGTTAAGAGCACAAAGGAAAAATAAGACAAGGGATTGCAAACGATTGGAGTTCACTGTGTAAAGGGGAGCCCACTGGGGATACGTACCTTCAGGCTTCTCAAGGCTATAGTTCCTTATAAGAAATCCAGCTCTGTTCTTATGCACCTAAATATTATCATAAAGTTTAGTAATGTGTATTTGTTTTACAAAAAGTATTTTATGTCCACAAGTTGTCTTTTAAATGCATGCATAGCCTATAGTCCATTTCTGTCTTTAAAAATAGACATTTGAAAGAAACTGGGATTCACTTCCCATGAAGGAATAGGAGATGGAATCCTGTTCTAGGTAGATTCACAATATACTGTCACGTAGCCCAGTGACAGCAAGCTGAGGATATTCTACATGTAATCTAATAATTTTTCTTAATTTTGAATTAAGTAGATTCTTTTCCCCAACTTTCAGACATTTTTCAGCTTTCTGAGGAGCGTTGTCAGTCGTTTAGAAGGAATCCGATCGTTAGATTAACTGGCCATTCTATCATACAAACCTCAAAATCATGTAGTAATGTCCTAAAGATTAATCAGTAAAGTCCAATAAACAAACTGGACTGATAAAAAAGAAATTAATTGGAAGTTAATAATGATCTTAGCCAG